GATGTAATGCAATCTAATGTAATGAAAAATGTAATGGAATGGAATGTAATTAAGATTGTATTACTTTGTTTGATAATGTAATTGAAAAAATTTGTGGAATGTAATCACCATTCCATTTTTATGTTTGTTTGTAAATATGTAATGTAATTAAAATACTACCATCACCAATCACACTGCCACCACCACCAATCACACTACCATCACCACTCCACCACCATCATCACCATCACAACTACCACTCTACCACCATCACCACCACAACCTCAAACACCACTCCACCACCATCACCATATCATTATTAATACAAAAGAAATATCTGAATTAAAAGTTATTCTTTATATTAAACTATTAAAAATCATTTAGATTTATAAATTTATTTTAACAATCATTTAGATTTATAATTATTTGAACTAAAAAATTAAAAGAAGGTAAGCCGAAACAAAAATGTTAATGTAACAAAAATTAAAAGAAGGTAAGCCGAAAAAAATGTAATGTAACAAAATAAATTAAATTACAATATAAAATTATGGGTATTTTGATCTTTTTAGTATTTTCATTTTATTCTTCTCATTCTTATAATAAAATAAAAGAATAAAATATAATTTTTATTCTATGTTATATATTAAACACTAGAATATAATTTTTATTATGTGGTGGTTATAGTGGTCGTAGTAGAGTGATTGACATGGTGGTGGTAGCGACGCAGAGTGATAGTTGTGGTGGTGGTGATAGAGTGGTGGTGGTGGTTGAGGTGGCGATCAGGGTGGTGGAGCAGTGGTGGTGGAGCGATGGTGGTGGTACTAGTAGTTGAGGTGGTGATGGTGGTTAAGCAGTGGTGGTAGTGGGATTGATGATGGTGGGGCGGTGATGTTGGTGGTGGTGAGGGTGGTGGGCGATGGTGGTAGTTGTGGCGCAGTGATGGTGGTGGTAAGGGTGGTGGAGCATTGGTTAAGTAGTGGCGATAGTGATTGCCGAGGTGGTGGTGGTGGTTGAGATGGTCGGGTAGTGGTGGTAGGGGTGGTGCTGTGATGGTGATAGAGTGGTTGAAGTGATGGTGGTGGTGGTGGTGGAACGGTGGTGGTGGTGGTGGAACAGTGATGGTGATTGTGGTGGTGAGGTAGTAGTGTTAAATAGTCTTAAATGGTAAAGTTTTTATTAGGGTAGTTTGGCCCGAATGCATAAAATTCCCCCTGAACTTTTTCATTTTAATCATTTGTCAACTTCAGCTTCAACTTCACGGGGAACCTACTAAGCCCCTTCACTTGATCTTTTTGTATCTTTTACACCCATGTTCAGTCACAGAATTAAGTGTGAGATACAATCGCTCTTACATGACATTTTTTTCAAACACGCCTGCATACTTTATTCCATGTGGCATTTATATTTGTTAAATCAATTTAAACCCATTAGAAATCTCCAAACTAGTTTAAAAAAACCAAGTAAAAACCCATGATTTAGGCCAAACCAGACCTTAATCAACCCAAATTAGCCCTAGCCTAAATCTATCTTCTTCCTTCTCCCTGATTGTGCAAAGCCCTCCCCCTCTGTTTTTATTTATTCATTTCAGATTATCTACTTGTGTCCGACCAACACTAACTCCTCCCTCTCCACTTTTCGATCAACCCAAACTTGTCGTCGTTGCCTTTCCCCAATTATCTCCCTCTCCATTTTCAACCTGTGTAGTGCAGCAATAGGGGAGGTGTTAAGTTGCGATTCTTGATTGAGACAGCCACCACCCTTCCGTTTCCTTAGTTTTTTGGCAAGACCAGCCCAGGACTGGCCGGTTAGACCTTCTCTTCATCCCTAGCAGCTTCTCCGAATGTTGTTCTTTTTGTTTTCCAATCTAATAGCGACATAGCAAGGAGATGGGAATGGAGCGACGTTTTTGTAGACGCTTAAATTTTGCCCCTAAAGGGTTTAGTGATGATATACCGTTTTTCGCATAAAATTGGATTGGGATTTCTGATTGCCCCGGTTCTCGGACCAATGGTCTGCGACTGAAATTATCTATGTTTTTAATCATTTTTCCTTTTTCAAGTCACTGTCCGTTTCGCGATGAAAGCGGACCTCGAAGCGCGTCGGGCCCACCTGACACATTTTTCTGTGCACCGTCTCATTTCGCGTGCCACCTGATTCAATTTCGTAAAGTGGACTCGGTCCTGTTGCGAGGCTTGACAGTGGCATTTTTGCCACGTCAAACCCTAAATGGGGCCACCTCACCCTCAAATGTCTATAAATAGGCATTTGTGGTGGACTTTAGGGGAGGAGTTTTTGGAAAACTAAGGGGAGACTCTTGCATTTTTAAAACTTAACCTAAAAATCCAAAGGCAACTAGTGTTAACCTAGGATCCAAGTTGAAATTTGTTGTTTAATCAATCACAAAATCTCCTGAGATCAATCTAAAATCCTAAAAACACATACTTTAATATTGAAACTCAGACTATTGGATTGAGAACCAAGGAGTTGGGTTTCTTCATCCATTTTTCATCTAATCTTTAAGTGAAACCATCAAATGTAGTTTCTGAGAATCTTTAATCTCTTTCCTCATCTTTTTTTTTCTTTTTCGGTGTTTAAAACAACTTTTTCGAGTCTAGTTGTGAGGGAAGCCTGGGATCAACAAAATAAGGGCTTCTGCACCATTGTGGCGTGTGGCCAATAGTAGTGGCATGTGCCATTACGTGTGGCGTGCGCCACTTTCCAGTGCCTCACGCCACTAGTGCCCAGATCCCATGTTCTTACCCTGTAAATTCCAGAAGCCTTTTTTATCTGGGAAACGCCCTGCGCCACTACGTGTGGTGTGCGCCATCAGCATGAGGCGCATGGAATAGCCCCTTGTGGCTCAAGGCCCTTCGATTCAGATGCTCTAAATGTACCAAAATCCAATAAATGTCCTGATTTGGAGATCCAGTGGCCTAGCTCTGACCTTAAATCGTGATGTGTACTTGGTCATATATTGATCAAATAAATAAATAAAACAAGATTGAGAACAATGATTGATGTGTTTGCCCATCTTTCAAAGATGAACATCAAGATCATGAGTTTAAATCTCATATAATCATTTAAATTCATGCACTTTAATTACTGTTCTTTAATTTACAAGAACTTTATTATTTTAAATCCTCATATAATCATTAAATTCATGCACTTTTAATTACTGTTCTTTAATTTACAAGAACTTTATTATTCTGCCTTTTAATTTTATGCCCTTTAAATTCAATGCCTATTGGTTTCATTATTGTGCCTTACTCCTTTATTCTTTATTCTTGTATTATAACATGCATCATATTTTCTTATTTATGTGAAATGAAATTCTTGTATTATGAACATGCATCATATTTCTATTATGTGAATGAATGATTGATTGTTGGTTAGTTTGTATGATTCTATGATTCTGAGAATAATGTTTATTTTGTATTTGTGTTGATTATGGATATTTTATTCTTATTATGCTTTAGTATTATATTATTGCAAAATGTAAAGGGTCCATAAGGATCCCTATTATTGCTTATATGTAATATTAATTGGGTTTGGAAAATTTGGAGGGGCAAGGGTAGATTATAATAATTAGGGTGGTTTATAACTCTTTTCTCATCCCTTTATTTGTGGATGCTTTATGTTTCATGTTTATTACGTTTGTTATAATTTGTCTGAATGATATGGTTTTCTAAAAATTGCATTAAAATTGTTTTACGTCTCAAATAAAAGTTGATCCCATTATTAATTATTGTGAATCTTTGGAAAACGTGGAGACTGATTTAGTCGGGCGAAATGGGTGCCTAACACCTTCCTATTTCGTACATAGCTCCCGAACTCGCCTCTAGTTTAAAACCAGATTAACCGATTCCAAAGAATTGATTAATTCGAGTATGTTTCCCTAATAAGGGTGGCGACTCCATAATAAAAATTTTATCAAAATAAAAGAGCCTTTTTCGAGAACTAAACGGGTTTAATAAAAAAAAAAACCAATTTGATAAATAAAATCAATCAAATCCGTTCGATTCGGTTCTTTTCAAATCCAAACTTTTGAAAAAATCATGCATCCTCAACTTTTCCAATTATTTTTGAGCAAAATTTTGTCATTAGTGCCACGTTGGATTAGAATGAAGCATTCACACTTTGAACATTGAATTCACGCCTATTATTCCAGCTTGGCAAGGGGCTCATAAATTACAAAAAAAATTAAGTTAAGGTGCTTATTAGGTCCCCCGCAAAGTCTAGGTTGACAAATGGTTAAAATGAAAAAATTCACGGGGGATTTTATGCATTCAGCTGGATAGTTTGATATAATTGGTATTAGATGTACTTATGTAACGGATAATACATGTGTTTTTTTATGTAATGAATATTACATCGATTTAAGTAATGAAGATTACATATGTAATCTTAATTACATTACATTGTTTAAAAAAGTCTAATCAAATAATGTAATTAGTCATATAATTTATTTTTTATTCTATTACATGGTTGATTACATCATACCAAACGTGACCTTAAAGTTCTAGTTGTTTGATTTTCATATTAAAATTTTTTTTAAAAATATGTATTAAAGGCAATGTGTTATGTATCTATTATTTAATTTATTTTTGAACAAAAATATTGTATAAGAATAGTTTCCTAAATCCAACCACTCATTTTCTATTTTATTTTATTTTCATATTTCTCATGAAAAATCTATCCGAATCAATAAATAAAAAAATCAAACTATTACTTATGTGTTATGATTTAGTTGGCAACGCAGACTTGACATATGAGAGAACTTTCGCTTCGATTTCCACTAAATACAGATGCATGTAAGACCATAAAATTTTAACTATGATTAAGCCTCGGGCCGAATTCGGAGACTGTGTGCAAGATTGTTAAAAAAAAAAAAAAAAAAAAAATTAAAAAAAAAAAAAAAAAAAAAAATCAAACTATTGGCGCGAAGAGGAAAAAAAAAAAAAAAAAAAAAATCAAACTATTGGCGCGAGAGGCACCATATAAAAAGTTGGAACGCCAATCACTCAGCGCGCTCAAAAATTTGAATTCAAACAACTCACTCCTGTTCTTTTCTGTGTCGCTCCACCGCCATGTTGTTGCCGGACTCGCAAGCTTCCGACCTAGATCTGGACGATTTCATCGACGAAGAATCAATTCTACCTCCACAATCCTTCACCAATTCTTCTCCTCATCAATGTTCAAAGGGCCACCGCTCCACTCTTTCTCTTCCGACCAACCACGGCGGCGCTATCTGCCTCCTCTGTCTTTCCAATCTCATCACCAACCCGCAGTCTCCTACTTACCATGTCTCCTATGCCCTTTCACAGCTCTCAATCGCTCTCTCTCATCCTTCTTTTCTCCATTCTCTTCTCTCTTTCCATCCTCAATTCCTCGTCTCCCCTCTCGTCTCCGCTCTCTCCTTGTTCGACGATGATCCCCTCGCTCGCCAGCTCATTGATCTTATCACCACTCTCTGTGGGTCCCGCGATAGATCTCTCTGTGATGAGTTTGTTTTGAGAGTGGCCGATCATATCTCCTCTGGAACTTTGGTGTGGAGTCGGCGGCAAGTGTATATGGTGAGTAACGTTGCGTTATTATTGAAACTAATTTTCTGTTTGCTTCCTTGGAAAATGAAGCAAAATTATTTCCGATTTAATGTTTTTTACTCATCCATTTTTTTATTGGATTGATAAAAGATGATGTTTAACTTACTTGGGGTTGGGAATAAGCTCAAACATTAATATAATTAAACAGTAATATTTGCTGGAACTTCAAACGGGGAGTGAAGCTTACTAGAGCTTTTGCGAGGGGGCTTAAAGATGCTTAATAACTAGTGGAGTTGTGAGGTTTAGCAAGAATGGTAAAATAATAATATTAGCTCCTAATGGTTAATCACTTATAATAGATATTAGGAAGAAATTATTGCAAGGATATAGCGCTGGTTCGTGTGTATGATGATTCAGGTTTTGTTCATCAAGTGATTGATTCAATCTTCAAAAGGATTATTATTACGAACATGAATGAGCTACTCTTTAATAATATTATCTCGTCAATAGTGCTATTCTACCGCTTTCAAACTAGAATCAGTTGATGCCTCTGGTACATACAAGAACTGATTGACATGCCAATTGGAGAAGATTTTTCTGGCTTAACTAGCAAAAATAGTTGGTGTTGATATAGAGTCTAAACTACTGAAGCTGGTTCGCACAGAGGGAAACCGTATCTCTTTGCTTCACGATAGAGTTTATATGTGTGAGAAATGGTAATTTCAAGCCCTATAGTTTGGATAATCTTGGATTGTAATAGCTTAGAGCATTTTGACATTGTATAATTGTTTCAATTTTGTATTTGCACGCTTTTGCTTTCTGTTCTTGGTTTTCATTTTATGCTGAAAAATGCTTTGCAGTTATGCTGGATTAGTAGTGTGCACATGCCCTAATCCAGAATAGGCATGTCCAAATTTTCTTTTCTTATGTCTTTGCTTATATTTTAAGTACCCATTTATTCAACCATGCAATGTGTGTCTGACTTGGGTGCATTAAAGTAAAGTGTGATCAGGTGAAGTAGCTGAGGTTTACAGACATACAGGGGAAAAAAAAGAGAGTATAGACGGTAGAAGACGGAAAGAGAGCTAGAGTGAGAAGACTTGTGCATTAGTTGATCATGATTGGGATCTTTAGTCTTTACCCTTCATCAGGGAGTAGTAATTACAGAATTTGGTCTGTAAGTTTAACAGCATGCATCAAGACTCGTTGAATTCTTTCAAATAAAGTGTTCTCTTGCCAATAATACGGTGAAAAATAAATACCTTCATTTATTAATCTCCACATGTGATCCCAAGTGCAGCTTCACTGCTTCGGGGCCCTCTTGAACTGTTCTATAAATGATCCTTACATTCAAATTAAAGACAGAGATGCTCTTTTATCCAATCTTGTTACAGGTCTTCAGTTGCCAAGGTAGCTACGAAGGACCCTCTACAATCATAATTTACTTTCACCATGCACCAACTGCATAATTTCACTTCTCTCCATGCTTTTTTGCTCCTTTGGTTCAGTGAAGAAATCCGGGGCGAGATCTTGTTTGTTCTGTACAAACTATCAATCCTCCAATGTCAGCATGAGAATGGTGATGTAGTTGACTCTCTTTTTGCCTTTTGTCCTAAGCTCTTGCATCTGTCCCTGGAAGCCCTTGTGAAGACCCAAGATGATACCGTCCGACTGAACTGCATAGGTAAGAGAGATTCTTCTAGACATTTCCTTTTTCAATCTTATTCTTTTTTGCATTTATTATTTCAGTTCCCATGCTGGATTCCTAGTATGACATGTTTATTGAAATCTTTTATAGAAAATGTCTTCGGAACTATGAGAATATGGCAATTTTACACTAGTTTGCACACGTTAGTGGCATGCATACCTTAATTCCTCATTACAGCTAGAGGAAGCTTAAAATTTATGATCTCTTTTTCTCAAGGACTGGATTTGATACAATTCAAGCGTTTTACCTGTGTTTATGATACTGCAAGGACCTGCTTACCTCATCTTCTCTTTCACCTTCTCTTAACTAAGAACTTTTTGTCCTTGGTCCTAGCATTTTTGACAACTGTTGCTCAGAAGGGGTTTTTTGAGAATGCATATGCAAATGACACAAGCAGCATGAGTTCTGATGAAGCCGATAACTTTATGCAAACAACAGACCATGGAGTGGATAGTCCTCCTCTGAATCTCTTATTTGCTGAGGCCATTAAAGGACCACTTCTTTCATCAGATAGGCAAATCCAAATCGGCACACTAGATCTAATCTTTCATTATTTGTCATGTGAAGGAGCTCCAGGAAGACAGATCCAACTTTTAGTGGAAGAAAACATTGTGGACTATGTTTTTGAAATACTGAGACTGTCAGGTAAGTGAACTTAGTGTGCACATTCACACATTGAAGTCGACACTTCGAAGTTCATTCTAGTACTAGGACACATTTTCTGAGCATTCAATTTGCAAATATTACACAGAATTTACACTTCCCAACCATCCGATATTGTGATTGCATTTTGCTTGAACTATTGCACATTCAATAAAGATAAGCATGCTATCTTGTCAAGGAATAACACATTCTCTTTTTCAATGTCAAAAGTGAAGTTCTTATTCTGCAAAATGTAGTTGTTGAGTGCATCAATTTCTATGTGGACAGAATGTAAGGATTCAGTTGTCAACTCTTGCCTACGCCTTCTTGATCTTTTCTCGAAAGTTGAGAAAGGTTTCACAGAAAGATTGCTCATTGGATTTCCAATTTTAATTCCAATTCTATCTCATGTATCTGAAGTTCCTTTTCATCCTGTTCAATATCAAACACTGAAGCTCATATGGAATAGCATTTCTGATTTCCCTGGAATCATATCTACTTCCCACATTGAGGAACTAGTCCTTGTTTTGGCAAAGATGTTTAAGAGGCATACTGTTGGAGAGATGGGCATGTCTACAGAGACATTCATAACAGTCTGCTCAATTTTTGTAGCTCTTTTAAAGTCTCCATCATTCCATGGAACTTCAGATATAGTATCAACAGTTAGAGAAGCAATAACTCATGCCATTTTAGCTTGTTTGAATATCTCTGAAAAAGATCCAAGTCAACTTTTGCATGCTTTATACCTGCTTAAGGAGGCATATGGATGCGGCAGCGAAGAAATATCCAGACACAAATCTACTATCACAGAATTACAAAGTTGTATTGTGGATATATGCACGTCACACATCTTACCTTGGATTGCAACAATCATCGATGAAGTGGATGAGGAAATTATCTTGGGGATACTAGAAACTTTTCATTCTATACTGCTTCAGGACTCTGATGTCCAAGCCATACAATTTGCACAGATATTGGTTAAATCATCTTGGTTCAGCTTATCATTTGGATATCTAGGGGTATTCCCTACAGAAAAAATGAAATTAAGAGTATATCTAATGCTCAGTTCACTTGTGGATGTTCTTCTGGGAAATGATACTGGTCAACCCATTAGAGATGCTGCTTCAAATCTTCCAACTGATCCTATTGATCTGTTATTTCTTCTTGGACAGAAGACCTCCCAAAATCCAGCATTGTCTAGTTGTCAATCTGCTGTTTTGCTGATTTTACATACCAGTTCTTTACATAATGACAGGTATCGCGCTCCATCCTTTAATCCTGGTTGATATGTTAATTTACACATAACATGAATAATTACTTGACTTCATTAAGGATCTATATCCATAACCTATCTATCTCATGTTTTTGAATTTTATTTCACAGGCTTGCAGATGAGAAATCTGTATTAGCTTCTCTTGAACAATATATTCTTGTCAACAGCAGTGAGGCCACCCATCCATTAACAATGGTGCAACTAGTAAATCTCTATGGTCTATATCGGAGTTTTGCCAAGATGAACTACCACAACTACTACAGTCCGGAAGCTGAGAAGATCCTGTTTCACTTACTGACTGAAACTGAATGGGATTTGCCTTCTTCAAGAATTCACTTGGTATCACTAAAATGGTTGTTTCAGCAAGAGAAACTCAAAAAGCCTTTGTCTTACCAAATCCTAAAATTTTGGAGGAGCAATTGCTCAAATGCCACCCAGATTGTTGTTAATGGGGAACATAGTCAAATTATAAATGAGCAAATAATTGCAGAATTGGCAACATCAGAAGACAGTTATGTAGCAAGGCTTTTGGTATGCCTATTGACGCAGCAGGTAGAGGAAATAAGCCAAGAGACCGACGTTATATCAATAGTAAATCTTTTGGCAACAATTATCAGCATCTCTCCAGCTGCATCAGAACAATTATGTATGAATGGATTTGGCAATGCAATCCGAAGTATCTACTATAACCCTAGTTATTTTTCTTCCCCATCAATGTTCAAAGCCACCTCGCTTTTAGTGTTTACTGTTCTACGTTCAGTACACCCTGAAGCACTTTGCGATGATGAGGCTTGGCTTGCAGTGACCATGAAGGTACTGAATCTCAACTTGAGCTCATGTATGTATCCTCATAATACCTTGAAACTGATTGGCTCTTTTTCCTTGTTTTATAGCTGATGGAATTCCTCAACCTAACCATTGATGCAAAAAGGTGGTCTACGGAAGGTCTACAAGTAATTGCCTGTTTGTCCTTGATTTTGCACCAATCTACCAGCAAAGTGTTGTTAGGAGCTTCAAAAGCCATCATCTTTAATACTTCTCTGGCATCTATGATAAACAACATCATCCATGAGGCCTGTTCAAAGGGACCTGCTTTGCTTGATTTCAATGAAGGAACAAGCATTGGTGAAGCACTGATATTTGTGCTTTTACTGTTGTGCTTCTCTTTAAGATGGTAAGCGCTCTATTAAGAACAACTATATCATTTCATGCTGTGAATCTAACTTCTCTCTATCTTAGTTTGCAAGTTCTCCTCCCTGGGGCAGTGGATTGGCAAATTCTACTTGATCCATCTAATGGGGAACAGCCATTTTCAATTCTCAGCATCAACTGCCATGACTTGTGTAGGCTGATGCATTTCGGTTCTCCTCTAGTAAAACTTGTTGCATCATATTGCTTGTTGGAGTTCATTACAAGAATATCAGAACAGATAAACAGAACAAAAGAGGAACTAAAATGTTCAATCGGTTACCTAATGTCCATGATAGCTATATTAGAAGGCCTAATATTTTACAGTGACATCCAAGTGGCCATAAACTGCAGCCTATGCCTATCAACAATCTCAAGATGGGAAAAGCTGAACATGAAGGAGACGAGGGTTACTGCAGATAATACCTGGTGCAGGCTGATTGTAGAAGAGATGGCACTTTCTTTGGCTGCTCCATGCTTACCATCAAAGTCATTCGCTAATTATCACAAGCCTGCAGTTCATGTAGCAGTCTCATTGCTAAAACTTCAAAAACGTCCCCAGTGGATGAGCACTGTGTTTGATGATCCCTGCATTTCTGGTATAATTAAAAACCTTGCAGCCAGTAACGTTAGCATTGAGATGGTGCTTTTATTTCGACAGCTGGTAAAATCTGAGTTCTTAAAGGCAGACCAAATTGCTTGTTTAAATAGGGTACTTCAGGTATGATATGGTTCTTCTGCTAATGTACAACTCAAGTCTTAAAGTGACCTCAGGCTGGTTTGATGCTGATTCTGGTTTATGGTCTCCCTGAGCTGTAATTGAATCTGCTGGAACTGGAATTGGGTCGGCTTTAGCAATTGCATTTTTAGTAAATACATATATATATATACACACATACACTTCAGAACCTGATGATTTCCAGTCAGTTCCAGCCAGTAAGACCGGTTCCTTGGTTCCTCCCCAAGAGGAACTGATCCATCTGATTCAGTCTGGTTCTGAACCATGGGACCATGGTTCAGTCCATTCCTGAACAGGCCCTTGGCCACACCTGCTTTAGGGATAGCACTGTAACATTTAGAAACATAATACATAATATTATATTCATTATATGCGTTTTCATTACTTTGCAGGAATGCAGGAAGCATATATCCACTGGAGATGTTCAAAATAACAGTACAGAAGAGCATACGGAGAAAAGGGTGCCCATAACAGATGAATTAGGAGAAGTTTGTGAGTATCTCATTCACTTGATATCATCTGACATGCATCTAGATGATGATTCCGTCAGTTTAGGAACTGGGAAAAAGAGATTGTTAGAAGAAATAGAAATGTTCTTTAGGACTTTGACAGTACAAGATGACAACTAAAGGAATCCATGCATCAACAGTGCTTTTAATCATTTTTTTAAGTTACTATTCAAATTGGTAGCTGTTATCTGTAGTTCTGTACATCTTGAGGATTACGCTTTGTACAGCTTCGGCCTCTGAAAAATCCCTGGGTTCTGGAAAGGCCTTGGACTGTTTCTTGGAATGCTAGTATAGCTTTGCTATAAACTGTACAAGGTTGACAAAGGTCGGCATATTAATATTAGTTTTTGTTTGTAGCTTCCTAATGCAACTCAGTCATTTTTTTTTTTGACTCGGTAGTCATTCAGCTAAGCAATACTGTTGGTCCATTTCATTAATTGTAGTTTAGTTTGTTAAGTATGTTGAAACTGTTACTTCTTTATTGAATATAAATACACGTTTGGGATTTGAATAGAACTATGAAGTTGAATCTTGATTCATTCTGTCCTTTCTTCATTCTATCTTTCTTTCTTTCTTCATGTTTGAAACATTTAGTGGGTTTTATCCTCTTTAGTGAATATATGTAACAGATTCAAATACCATTTTAGTTCAGATTTTCTGATTCTTTGGGGACTTGTTTGTTTCACTTTGGAACTGGAATATGAATATGTCAAAATTCAAAAAATGTGATTCCAAATTTATTTTTTAAATAAGCAAAATGAATTTGTTGAGTTATATTAAGAATAATTTCAATATAAATTCAACTGATGCAAAAATAAAATATTATAAAAATTAAAAAATAAAATCATATACTCTAAAAATTGGATTTCGTTCGCAATTTCAAAGTGAAAGTGAACCAAACATGACTTTACACTACCCTAAGAAAAGTAAGTAATTATAATACTAAGAGACCATTTTTAAAAGATATGTAGAAGAAAAAATTCGTAGAGACCTGAATCAAAAGGATTTAAAACCCAAAACGAATCTAATTCAAATCAAAAACCAACCAACCCAACATTTCTAGTCAATGATCTATAAGTTGGTTTCAAGATGTGTCAAACCAAAATGAATTACACTACATAACCTTTTAATAAAAAGAAAATAACACATAAATTAAATCCTCCCCACAAGCCGTAGATGCTCCCAATTAATACTCAACTCCCTTCTTTGTATATACTAATTTAATTGATATCACAAAATAAAAACCAAGCAGAGTCATTGTTCCATGAAGAAACGAATCCACCCAGTTTAAGGTTTTTTCTAATCTTGGTATCAAATGATGCAAACAATTAAGTATTAGGCAATATCAAGAAAACATGTCATGCTTCTCTATAGAATGAAGTGATGCTTTTAGTTAGTAACACAAGCAAGTAAAGCTTTATGATCTAAAGTACTGTATGCTAATTGAGTCAGCGCATCTTGATTCTTGGTTTCACTCATCTACCTTCAATTGAGGTTGCTCCTTTCTATTATTCTTTGCCACTAAATCAATCATATCAGAATAAGTCCACTTCTTTTCTCTAGCATTAGGTTCGAGAGAGGCGTATGCCTCTTCACAACTTCTAAGGAACTTGCCCTTTCCAAATGCAGTGAGAACCAGGGGATCTGTTTCCATTTCCACGCATCTGTAAAGAATGCCCATCCTTCTCCATGAATTTAAAATTCCAATCCCATGAAACCCTAAGTCATACGCATCAAATAGAATTCCAACAGTCACCATATCAGGTTCCACACGAAGGTTTGTTAACTCAGAGAATAATATCTTCAAGCGCGAGAAGTCTTTCATCTTCAGGTAGGCTAGCAAAACAATATTTACAAATGTTACATTCCAAGAAACTTTTGATTCCTTTAACCCTCTAATTAGAGATTCCATGCCTTGTTTGCTCAAAGAACAAGCATTAGAAAGGAGGCGTAAACACCAAACAAGATCTGTGTTACCAATTCTTGAAGAAAGATTGTCTCCCAGGTCATTCAATTTCGAGAACATGAAATTTTCAATGTAAATCTTGGCTATTTTCCTAATTAAATCTTCCTTCAAATTAGCTTTTGATTTCCAAACCCTTTTTAAAATCTTCTCCATCTTTTCAACCATACCAAACTTCACATAAGCCTCAAGCATGGCAATCAAAGTAGAAGATTGAGAATTCATCTTCTTTGTTCTCATGGATTGATATAGCTTTTCCATTCTTGCAAGCAAACCAGCTCTTGAAAATTCTTGGATAAGCAAATTATAAGTGATACGGTCTGCGGAACACCCATCCATCTCCATCTTCTTCAAGCACATACCCATCTCATCATACATTTTGTACTTACCATAAGCTTGAATCAACCCATCATAGGTATAACTTTCCAAAGACAAATTCATTTCTTTTATTTGACTAAGGTAAAATAGGGCATCATCAAACTTCCCACTTTTAGCATAACCATGAATTAAAGAATTGTAAATTTGCTTAGAAGGACTCAGACCAAAACTCTTCATTTCATTAAACGCCAAAGATGCATCTTCCATCAGACCTTCTTCACCTAATAACCCTATAATCTTCTCATAGTTAAGTTCATTAATTCTTGATTTTTCTCTGTCCTTCCAAACATTATACACCTGTCCAAAAATACATAAGTTTGAACTTTGAAGTACAAAACCAAGAATCTAAAACCAGAAATTGAAATCAATTTCCGGTTTTTTTTTTTTTTTTTTTTTTTTTGTATTTTATACTATACTAAGAGACGCATTTTATATCTTTAATGGTTTATAGATATGAATATGTTTAAGAGTAAGACAAATATTTCGTAGAGACCTGAATCAAAAGGATTTAAAACCACCAAAACCGAAAAATATCTATTAATTCGGAGATAATCACGAAATATAACAACAGACCACACCCAACATTTCTAAAGTCGCACAATTAGATGCGTATGAAAGGTATCGGAATTGTTCCAGTATAATGAGTACAACCCAAAAAATGAAATATGGAGAGAATACTCATAACCTTTAATAATATAATGAAAATCAAAACACATAAATTAAAATCCTCCCCACCAAGCCGTAGATGCTCCAATTAATACTAAGGGGAAACTTTACTCCTTCTTTGTATAATATGCTAAAAATTATTATTTAAAAATTGTATTATTCACATAAATACATATAGTATAAAAAACCAAAGCAGAGGGGTCTCGATGATCAGAGTTCCATGAAGGGAAACGAATTTCACGCAACCCGCAAGTTTTTTAAGGTTGTTGTTAAGTGGCGAGATCTTTCGGCTAAAATAAAATTTTATGTTATTAAGCAAAATTGATAATTGTGGAAGTATATAATAATCAAGGCAAGTAAATCAATGAAAAGACGGGATGGTTCGATGCCTATGCTGGACTATTACAGAGAGTGAAGTGGAGAGTTAGCTTTCTTATAATAGCTACAAGCTAAAGTCAAACCGCTTATATATATGATCAGTGAAAGATAACTATGAGATTAATTGTCTAATTGAAGTTCAAAGCGCATCTTGATTCATTAGGAATTTCAAATACTCATACACTTAACATCATGTACAAATCTGATTATGGTAGGTTGTACTCCCTTTCTATTATTCGATATTGCCTAACTAGAACTAAGAGAGTAAATCAAGTGAGTTCTGGATAGTTGAGTCAGCCCATGAGTATAAATCCACTAACTTCTATTTACTCTAGGAGACCATTAAGGTACGGAGTTTACACGAGAGAAGAAGCGGTTATGCTGCTTCAAACAACTTTTCTAAGTGATACTTGCTCCCTTTTTCCAAATGCAGTGAGAACCAGGGGATCTGTTTCCATTCCACGCATGCAATGATTATGATATTGCTCTCCGCGACTCCTTCCTCCATGTTGAAATTAATAAAAAATTATATCCAATTATCACGTCACATGGAAACCTTAATGTCGATGACCGCAGTTCAAATGAATTTCCAACAGTCAACCCCACTTTATATGTTACCCTTATGCAAGGATGTCCACAACGCCATGAGTGTCTTTGTATATAACGTTCAGAAATGATAATTAAGTGTAGTAACGCTTCAGAGCTGACAGGTATGAAGTCCTTTCTTCAATTTCACTCTCATGAGTTAGGCTATGACAAACATTATTTTACAAATTTGATTAACATTTACAAGGAGAACTTAATATATATAAGTATATATCCATTATTCATAGTAAGCCTTTCTCCTATAGATGTGATTTTCCTTAGTGCCCTCCGTTTGCTTCTGTCATTAAAGAACAAGAGACATAATTAGGAAGTGATATGTGCCGTGTATGAAACACCAAGGACAGAGATTTCTGTTTGGTTATTTCTTTAAAATTTCGTATGAGAAAGAGAAAAGATTGTCCACCTTGCCCATAGAAGTCATTCATAATTTCCGAGAACATGAAATTTTCCAAGAATAGTAAAAAATCTTAAGGGCTATTTTTTAATCCTAAATTAAATTCTTTTTCCTTCAAATAATAAGCTTATTTTGATTCTCCAAAAAAAATACGCCATATTTTTTAAATAATCTAATCTACCAATCTTTTCAACCATACCAAACTCTCACATAAGCCTCAGCTATGGCAATCTAGTAGAAGATTTGAGATATTGCGGATATTCTAATTACTTCTGTTGTTTCATGGATTGATATATATTTAGCCTTTTTTCCATTCCTTGGTCAAAGACAAACCAGCCTCTTAAGATAAATATATTTCTTGATATAGCAGATTATATACCTAGTGATTAGCGAGTCCTGCTTGCCCAGATCCAACTCTCATAACTTCCAATAAGGCCATACTAAACATCTTTACCATTCAGCACATACCCATGCTCATCATACATTTGTACTTACCCCATAAGCTTGACATCAACCCATCATAGGTATAAACTTTCCAAAGACAATTCATTTCTTTTATTTGACTAGGTAAATAGGGCTAATTGATGCTTATTCAAACTTTTTAGGCCCACTGTTTAAAGGCATATACTAAGTGAATTTTAGATATATGTTATAATTTGGCTTAGAAGTGACTCCAGACCAAAAACTCTTCATTTCATTAAACACCGTCCAAAGAATGTCATCTTCCATCAGACCTTCTTCACTGCTAATAACCCTAACTAATCTTCTCTATAGTTAAGTTCATTAATTCTTGATTTTTCTCTTGTCCTTCGTTCCAATATCATTATACAACCTGTCCAAAAGAATACATTTAAGGTGTTTATTGCCCAAGCTTTTGAAGAAGTACAATAACCAAGAATCATATTATCTTAAACCTAGTAAATTTGAAATCATTTTCCGTGTGTCTTTTTTTTATAAGTTTTTTTTTTTTTTGGTTAATTAAGCAGCTAAAACTGAAATTCCAAACTCATAAAAATTAGGTAAAATAACGAACTAAACCAAAGATCATTAATAAAATAAACTTCCTAATCTATTTTTAATAAGAATAATAGAAAGTATTGTATCTAATATCTCAGACATCTTTTCAATATTACTATCTCGATTGGAGAAGTACAATGTATAAGATAACCTCTAAGATATGAGCAGCTATGATAACGCTTGAATTGCAGAAAACATAAACATAAAATATTAAATTAATGAGAAAGGAGGGATGATCTTATTCGTGAACATTAACCGCTAAATTCATAAGAGAGTGAGATCAAAGTGTAGCCTAGAATAGATAGCCTGTTGTATGAACATCCCTAAACGCTGTGACCGATGAGAATCTGAAGGTAGTTGTTTAAGAGTAATTGATTGGGATTGGATACCTTAGATACTGGTCTTATGGTACACAATTTTTCCGATCAATCGATAGGGTGGAATCACGGGAAAACTCTTGCAAGAATGTGCGCCATAGAGTAGCCCTTTCATGTTTTGAGCTAGCTAAAGAAGAGGGTGTTTTGAGCTTTCTGGGGGTCATGGTATCAATCTTCCAAATAAGAAAGAAGTTTTTGTGCTTTGTGGGAATACATCAATCCCACTCTGGGCGAATTTTGCCTGCAATGGAGCTGATATGTGGATTTTTTTTTTTTTTTTTTTTTTTGTTAATTAAGCTAAAACTGAATTCCAACTCATAAACAAATTAGGCTAAAATACGAACTAAACCAAAGATCATTAATAAAATAAATTCCCTATCTTTTTTAATAAGAATATTAGTATTGTATCTAAAATTCTCACATCTTTCAATTAATCATTGAACAAATTAAGAACTAGAAGCAGAAACCCAAAAAACATATAAAAAAGACTTGGAACTCCAAATCATAAATATTTCAAGAGAGAATACCTGGAGCACCTCCTCGGATCTGAAGGAATGTTTAAGGAATCTGATGGTAAACCAGAACTGGTCTTTGGACCAATCTCCATCATCATGAAGAATCTGCAAAGGGCAAGAGCCTTTCATGTTGAGCTTAGCAAGCAAGATTTTGAGCTTCTGGTGTTCATGGTAGCTCTCCATAAGAAGGGTTTTGTGCTTTGTGGAATCATCATCTTGGGGAATTGCCTGCAATGGAGCTGATATGTGGAGATTCATAATGGGTTTACAGAATTCTCAAAAAAAATTTTCTCCAATTTTCCTAATTAAACAGAATTCTCAGTTTCCCTTAATCTTATTTACAAAAATCCCATCCACCAAGTAATTCCAAGAGAAACTGAGTGGTCTAATTATTTACATGCACCCAAGTCTAACTCTAATTACCCTTTTCACTTTACTCATTGTTTAACCAACATCAAATTTAATCAGCACCATACAAGAGGAGCAAGAAAGGACACTGCTTGAAATGTCAAATATGCTCCTAGAATAAACGAAATAGAAGAAATAACAGTAGTTGGAGAAGTTTACTTACAGAAGCAGCAGGCAAATGAGACGCAGATTTTTCAACAAAAGCAGCAGGTAAAGCTATTGATATCCTAGAATGCTTTCCACTGCGGTTGTTCAGGAAGCAAGAAATGCAAAAAGGAGCAGTATAGAGTCTAAGCGGCAAGCGAAGCCGCTGTACCGGGTTGAGCCGACGGTTTCTTGGATAACCGCCGTCACTTGGACCCAGACATGTACGGATTTGGGTAACGCTCGTCAAGAGAGAGGATGAAGCAGCCGTTGAGGTTGGTGCAGTCATTGAAGTACTGAAAGTAAAAGTCATATCATATCATTTATCAAAAGAATTAAGGTAGATTTACAAAATAAGAAAGGGAACCAGAAAGAAGAAATTTTCTGGCTCTCATGTTAGCCGAATACAATCGATTGATTCAGCCCTCTTCCTCTCTTTATTGCCACTTCACTGAACCCTTGATTCCAGTTCAGGGTGTGGGATTTATGTAGACCTGTTCATTCGTCTAGAATTGTATTTTGAATGAGAAAGGGTAGAATTGTATTTGATTCTATTCAGCCCTCAACGTTTGTAATTGAATGGGCTAAATTAAGGGTGGCCACGGTTCCGGTTCCAAAAAAACTGGAACCGGAACCGAACCGAAAAGTTTCGGTTCCGGTTCTGGTTTGGAACCGAACGGTTCCGGTTTTGATTCCGGTACGGTGATAAAATCGATATTTCCGATCGGTTTTCTGACGAATCGCATAATTTTAAATTTTAAATTTTGAAGACCGGTTTTCAAAATTTAATAAATTTGTGAAAGTTATTTGTAAAAAAAATACAACTAAAAAATTAAAAAATACTTCAATTAAATTTATTTTTTTTAATAAATCTAAGTTCGGCCAGTACAAAGTAGTCTTATATGACGATAGTCTTAACATTTGGATTAGAAAGACCTCAACGCCGATCGAGGACGGATTTTCAAGAATTTTCTGACATTCTACACAGTCGTTTTTAGTGACCAAGTTATTTGTTATAAACCAAATAGCACAGACTCCCCATAAAACACTTAAAAACAGGCTAGTATGACTCTTCAATTAATTTATTTTTTTCTTTCTCAAGAAAGAGGTATATGCGCTCTCATGAACTGTAGTTTCTCATTTTTTGTTCAAAAAAGTTTGAACATAATTTAAAAAAAAAAGGCTTGAAACTTAATTTTTTTTAAAAAAAAAAATTATAGTGCCGTTACGTAAAAATTCCCTCTTGGGATTTACGAAGGAATCAAAGTCCAGTAGTTTCTTAGCTTACCCATTTCAACTCTCTTATATTTAGACAAAAATTTTCCACACGCTTTTTATCCGCTTATTAGTACTCGTTCTTATGTCCGATTTTAATATAGCAGCCAGTTCCATCGGTTGATGTTCGCATCCAAATATGGGACTGTTGAGGCCTATCGATGATGAGAATCGAAATTTATTATAAATCTTAGATATATTCTCTTTTATAGATTTTCAATTATGTGCCTTTGGGCTTAATGTTTCGGTTGTTTAGATATTGGACAATAAATTGGGTGGTAGTTGGGGCTTTTGAGTGGCGACTAAACTTTGTAAGATCCACTTTTCTAATATGACAATAATATTGTGTGCTGGCGTCTCTTCTCTAAGTGCGAATCGGGTAAGAATTGCAAGATTTTGGACCAGTAGTGTCATAAACGAGATTACCGGGTCCGTTAAATCCAAATCTAAGTGGATGCTGGTTCTCTCGTTGCATAAGAGTCTTTAGGTTTTCACCGCAACAGTGGAAGACCCTGGAGCTGCTAAAACTTGTTTTGCAATTTAAAAAGAAAGTATTGGAAAAGTATTGGTGTGGACGACTCCACCAATCTAAAATTGGAAAATCAGTATCTGCAGATAATCATCACCAAACTCAAACCCAAGAAGGTTGGTTAGAGTAGATTGAGAGTCAAATTACTTCAGAAGAAGAAGAACTATGGATTCCACTTGTTCTTTTTTGTCTTTGGGTGAGTAAAACCTTTGTTGAGCAACACCAACACCACTATACCACTTTTTGTGTTCGATAAATTGTTGAACTTATTAGATTGAGAAGAATTAGAAGTAGAAGAGCAACTAGGTAAATTTGAAACAATATTACATTATATAAATTATTGGCTTCACACATATTTATGATTTTTAACTTTTACCATAGAGGGCAAATTACTTAATAAGTTTTTATTTATGCAAATTATAAACGCATTACTTTCTTATATCATATAGAAATTTTAATAATATCTTCGGAGTAAAAGATATAAGTATAAGAGTATTATTACACATAAAACATCAATTTTACATCTAGTGGGAATCTAAAAGTAAATAGCAACAAATATAAAGGACGCAGAGTTATATATGTAATTCCAAAAATAAAGATAACCATTTTTTTTTCATTGAAAAAGATAATACAAGTCTATTTAATATAACATACTCATTGGTACAAAAAAATTTTCCTTGGAGTGGTAAGCACGTAAACAATATTATACTATACAAGCATACCGTGGAAATAAATATACATAAAACTATGGAGAGTTAAAATGTGAGATTTAAATAAGAGGCACGCCGGGCTCTGCGCCACTAAATTTTATAGAGGTAGAAATCATTATAAAGATTTCATTTAAAAATAGTTATAAAGATTTCTTGTACACAAATGATTCTTCAAATTTTTTGGTGGGATATATAATATTAATAATCTTCAATATTATTAGTAAGCACAAAACCATAAGCATAATAAATCACAATGAATAATTGGTCTTTTATATAGTGAATAAAAGAGACTCGGTTTAGTAATTCATATCGTTTTTTAGTATATTTTCTGGCTTAAGACCGAGTAATTGGGAAGCTATCGAGGTATAACTCTTTATGAGAAAAAACGTTTTTGGGTCTTTAGGATTATATGTTTTATTTACAAGATATTTTAATGCTACAATCAACTTTTCATACAACTTGAAAAAAAGGAATGTCTCCCTTATAAAGGTGTTATATGAATAATAACGTATTTTTTAAAATTTGGAGAATATATAAACAAGAGTTTTAATGAAATTTTTTAAGAAACACACAGCAAATGCTTGGATTAACAATCACATAAGTAAAATTTAAACACCAACTGGTGTCATGGCACATTCTATCTCATAATGTATAAGAAATAAACTTTGGTTCATAAAGAAATCAATATATTTTAGTTTTTTCTTTAAAGTAACCACCGACCATAAGATTAATTTAAACGGTAATATGAGCATGTGGAAGCAATTATTCAAAATAAATGAAACAATGAAATATGTGAAAAAAGTAAATTTGTTCTTTTTTGTGCAACTGATAAATAGCTTGACATAGATCTCTAATAGGAAAGTTTTTAGAAACACCCACATAATGTATTCCTAACATAAAATACTTTATTTTGGGTCACGGAAGTATTGGTAACTTTTCAAATACTTCAATCAGTAAAAAAGCACATCAGTAAATGCATTATAAAATTCCAACTTTTCTTATGAAGTTTTCTCTTAAGTTTATCATCAATTTAGCCAACGTTGACAATGAAAAATTTGTGCCTATTATAATAAGAATGCATTCTTTGCGAATAATCACTTATTATATAGGAATCTCACGCGAGATATTATACAACAAAAATTGGATAGATCAGTTGAAATTTTATCATTTGAGAAAATAAAATACATATTAACTTGCTTGTTTTTTTTATCCTTTATTATAAGGATCATGAAAAAAGAAATATAATAGTATTCCGTTTTAACAGTAGTGTGTGGCCATTGGGCACTTCAAACAAAACCATTTCATTATTTTTAGCTGAGAAAGATATTTAAAAGTCTTTTGACAATAATTATAAATGTAATAAATTAGCAACATACTTTTTCAAACCAAAAAACTGGAAAAGCATAAAAAAATGTTCCAATGAATATGAAAGGTCATTTATTTTGTAGTAATATTCCTATTACTTTTTTTAGTTATGGAGTTTTTCAGATATTGAAGATATATAAATGAATGAATATGTTACCAAGAAATATAATGCGATAAACCTCGTAAAATATTTGTTGTTTGGTTTTTATTTGACACCTTAATAAGTAGATTCCATAGTCATAAACTGCCATTATTTTATTTGGTTAGGAGATAGTTAATTTTTGGGGATTTCCGTTTTAACTCATAACTTAGTTTCCATAAAATGAATCACAGTAGCCAGACGTGCGCTCTCGCGGGTTTGATAATGATAGGAGGATGGGATTTTATTTTAAAGTTCCTTCTTTGCCATTGTAAATGTTGTATGAAAGAGTTCTACCTCAGCAATCCACATGCAAAAATTACATAGTTTCTCTTACACATTGTTCTGCACCAATATTTTGAATATATATTATTTCTATCGCAGTTGTGAATAAGTGAATGGGACGAATTATGAGTCTGTGAAAGGAACTGAGATTGTGCTCTGTTGTCTTCTTGGGCTAGACAATTTTCTGGTGCGGACTACTTTGTCACTTCTTTTAGCTAAAAGGCTTCGTCATCACTCTATCGGAACACTCTTACGTTTGGTTAATTCACTCATTTAAAAAGAAAATCTAGAATTACTTGTAGTTGGTAAGCATTTGTCTAATAATGTTCTCATAATATTTTCATTGGATATTACCCGTCAAAGAATTTAAATTGCGTTGGGGGGAGTTGAATATCATAGATTGTGATTCGTTTGTTAAATAGTGTATTATTAGGGAAAGTGGAACTAATTGATAGTTTTTCCAATGTGGTATCACAATTATTCTTATTCACATAATTTGCCCTTTTACACGCTAAATGCCTGAAATATTTGAGTTAATCTCTCCACTATTGCTCCAATTAATATGTGCATTAATAAAGAAGATTAATAATTTTGGAAAATTGAAATAGAAATAGAAATTAAGAAAGATGATAAATTACTTAAACACTTAACTATAGAAGAGATTTATGAGTAGATTAGAGAAATAAGAGATAATATTATAGAGTATAGTTAGAAAAGATCAGTAGTAGTAACATTGATTGGATATAGGAGAAAGTCAAGTATGAGTAAAGAGTACACGAAAAAGACTTTTTTTTGTATACTGATAACTTGTAGAGGAAAATGAAATGTAGCGAGCTAATTTTATAATAAATTGGCAATCTCTCAAAAATTATTCATTTTCTGCACTAAAAATACCCTGAAACCTCATTTGCCGCGTTTGAGATCATTGATAGCCGTATTATAATGGACTGTTATGGGGAGTGGGTAATTTAAGATAGAATTCTTGCAGCAATATACATATTTAAATAAAAAAAAGAATCTATCAACTAGACACAGTGTTATTTTATATACGTGTTTTAGTCAGCAAGTAAAGCAATGCTTGGGTAAGTAGGAGGTGCATAATAGAACTTCGCCGATCAATATCGTGCTGTAATTGTGTTCTTCACGGTTACTAACCGGTGTCAACGAGTAAGAGACACCGGCGTTATTCTCCACATAATACAGCGGTGTCCATTTTAATTTATTTGTCA